GAGTCACACAGACCACACTAAAGAACAAGGAGGTAGAATACAGAATAGGAAGTATGGAATAATTGAGAAGCTATGGAAGATCATATAGCTGTTTGCATGTATGTACTTGTGTATGTGTGTCATGTGTGCACTTGTGAACCTGTTTTTCACTAGGGATTAGTAAAGACTCATTAGGAATCAGATGAGTGAGAAAGAGACAAGTTCTGGAATTAGAAGATACACTGTACTCCCTTATCCTTGGTTCATTCTTTGTAGTTTCAATAATCAGAGATAAATCATGATCCAAAAATATTAAATGAAAAATTCCAGAAATAAACAATTATAAGTTTTAAATTGAGCACCATCCTGAGTAGTGTGATGAAATCTCACACATTCCTGCTCCAACCCATTTGGGACATGAGTCATCCCTTTGCCAGAGTATCCATGCTATATACACTACCCACTCATTAGTCACTTAGTGGCCATCATACCTATCAGACTGCCAATCACCAGTTGGTATCACATTGTTTGTGTTCAAGTAACCCTTATTTTACTTTATAATGGCTACAAAGCACAAGAGTAGAGATGCTGGTACTTTGAATGTGCTTAGCCATTGCTGTGGCTGGGGATATACCCTAGTTATAGCCATAGTACTTTTGGCCACAATTTAACAGACTGGCTGAGTGATTGCCCCCTGCTCCTTAAAGAAACCAGGATTGACTGCTTGGATTAAGTAAGGTCCTTGGAGTTCTCAGACTAGCTACTAGAAGGAAAAAAGAAAAAAATCTAGGAAATTCAATATGTTCCTGCAAGAGCAAGCTGGTGCTCAAGTCATGCTATTTAAATTTTAAAAAAGAGATTTGACCCCAGTTTGAATTCGAAGCCAGTAAAGCCAGACAGATTGCTTACCTTTAAAATCAGAGAAAACAATAATGCTATTTTCATTTGGAAGAGAGTGAAAGTGCAGAAAGGGCCTGGCCTCCTGAAAATTGTTCCAGATTGACTGCAAAATCAAGTATGCCCACGCTTTTCCAAAACTTAACCTGCACCAGCAGCTCAAACACTCAGAGTCACAAGAAGGTTCTTATTTGCTCTTAAATGTGAGGGGGTGAGGGGAACAAGAAAAGAAGGAAACTGGATCTAAGGAACTATAGAAGCTGGAGTGGATTCATTCTCTGCTCTGCCAAGCTTGTCTGCGACTGTGAAGTTGCCCTGGCCTGTTCCATCAGTGCCCATTTAAGCTGCACGGAGGCTAGGTTTGAGTAATCAGGACACAAGAGCAATAGTTTTAAACAGGTCAGAAATGGAGACAGAACACACAACACAGAAAAGAGCCCCAAGCCTGAATACCTTGGAAATCACAATCAAACCTGAATGTCCTATGGAGCTGTTTCCTTTCTCAAAAGTTTCATTTTTCTTTTTATCTCAAATTCTGATGTCTTCAGCTTGGGATGGAAAGAGTAAATCTGGGATTAGGCTGCGATAGAGCAGGTGCTTCCCCCCTACCCCAATGGTCCCCCCAGATACCTCTTGACCACCTGGCCACATCCCTGACTCCATCACAAGGGCTGTCAAGGTGTCAACCCAGCAATGGGGTCAAAACTGCAGGCTTCTCCAGGTTTGCACAACACGTGCCACTGACCACGGACTTTGCCTGGGATTCTGGGTGGAGGCTTTGGCTGGGTTTTCAGAAGGCACGTGTGAAAATGGTTTTATGAGAAAAAAAAATTCCTTTTCTCACTTGCATAAATCTACCTTTGTCCCTATATGCAGAGAGATCTCTTAGGGAGGAAAAAAAATTGGTGTGGTAGAAACAAGGAAAGGTGATAGAATTATGGGAAGTTTTTGAAGCAATGTATGGAAAATGTAAACCTGGTGCTTTCAAATATCTTTTTCAGACTTGTTGTGAATCAATCATGATTTTTTTTTTCCTATGGGTTTGTTTTTGTTTTGGATTTTGGTTTCCGTTTGTGTGTGTGTGTGTGTGGGTGTGTGCGTGTGTGTATGTTTGAGGGAGGCAATTAAGGACATTTCAACTTGCAAAGTGTTAAATAATTTTGCTCTTTTTTAAATTTCTTTTAGTTATACCTGATAATAGAATCCACTTTGTTATAATTACACAAGCATGGAACATATCTTTTGTGTTTCGATTGCAACACTTGTCAATAAGACCTTCCCTGGATAATTTTTTTTTAATTTTTATTTTTTTATTAGTTGCTCGAGACAATACAATTTCCCTGGATAATTTGAGCCTGAAAAGATTTGTAGTGAGGCAGATGGGCCTTCAGTGGTAAGGCCAATCAAAGAGAATGCAAAGCACTTTATGTTCAAACCCTCTGATGTATTTTACTTGAAAGATATCCCCCAAAACATAGTTAGAAAAAGTTAAACTTGAAGAGGTGACAGATGAAAATAAAAAGAATAACAGGAAAAAAAATCCAAGAAACAGGGCCAGATCAAGGAGTTTCCAAACACTGGAAGATCTGTAAATATATTTGTGTGTGCATGCATAGACATGCCTATGTGTAATTACATCATATATATATATATATATATATATATATATATAATGAAATGGAAAGGTCAGCACAAGAAGACATGATCTGACCCAGGGTTAAGGAAAGCCTTCCCAAGCTGGTGACATTTAAACTATGTGTTGAAAACATAAACTTGACTTTCAGATATAATTTTTTATCAACTTTGTATTATGAACACAGCATTGTGAATTTTTTTTTTCCTTCTGGTTGGAGGTTATCACTGATTTTTCAAACCACCTGTACTTGGAACAAGGATTTGGGAGCTGCTTCTGCTAGAAACATTAATTTTTCACTTGGGCCTGCAAATATCTAACAGTTAACTAAAAGTAAGATTTTAAAAACCAGCACCTCTTCCTCCATTTTGCTTCTATCTCCTTTGCTCAGAGTCAACTTGGATCCCAGAAACAATAGGTCTGATTGATCAATATCTCATGGTGAGTCTCAACTACCCCCTAGGCATGGTTTTCAGAGCCACCTACAACAGAGAGGAAGCCACTCGTCACAAATGCTCCTGGAGTCTGGACAGCATCACCTCCCAATTACCCCATCATATGTTGAAAATACCTTAAGTAGGAAATGCAATTAATTCCCCTAACTCACTGAACACCTCGCCTCCCCTCACCTCATAAACATGCTGAGAGCACATACATTAGCCTAGAGTTGGGCAAAAACCTATTTTATAATAAAGTGCAGAAGATCTCATGCAATTTACTAAAATCGGTACTGAAAGAAAAAAAAGAAAAGACCAGAATATTTTTTCTGTATAAATTGAAGGTAAAATTTCTACTAAATGCATATGGCTTTCACACCATCCATCCTGAAGTCAGAGAACATTTTCAGTAGAACCTTCATAAATCGGGGCCATCTGTATTTCCACAGAGTATACAGGCTCACAAAACAGTCTCATTTTCCACTGCCTCCTTCTGGGCCCTCTGCAGTCCCACCTTCTCTTTCTTCCTGGCACCCCTGCCACAGCACCCCTCTGCCCTTTGCTTGTCAGACACGGGAAACAGCATGGGGGCTGCAATCTGTAGAATCATCCTTTACGTGTTGGTCCTGCCTCGGGTCATGGTGCAGAATAAACTAGAGACATAAAAAGCAACAGTATTCAGAAATTCTCCCTGAGCTCAGAAGCAGCAGGAGAGGGCAGAACAAGAGATTTGAATTTCATGCCCTCCCATCACCTGAGCTGCACGTTTTGAAAATGCAGAATTCTTAAAATGCCTCTCTTGGAAATGGCAAGGCTCATGCCCAGAATCTTCAGGAGGATTTGGGCTGTTTTGTTTTCCCCACAGATCTGAGTGTCTGCTTCTCCAATGCCAGAGTTAAAGCCTGCAGACATGCACGCAGAGACCAAAGATTTGCTCTGGTTTTCTGTGTGTCTGTTTCTTAAGCATCTAATTCTGTGTTTTGTTCCAGGCTTCATATCACAGGCATAATCAAGCATCATCTAAGAAAATCTGTAAATGTAGCCAGTACTCAGGAGTCGTTTTCTTCACATAATAGAAGCTCAAGGGAAAGAAGTAGAGAGGAGAAAATTAAGTTTAAACTTCCTCTTGTCTAAGGGGGCAAAGGCTTTGCTGGGCTGGACATCCTGCACCTTAGGAAGGGCTGGAGCATGAAAGTGTCCCTGTCCTCAGGACCTGCATCCCAGTGAAAGGCTGCACTGAACAAATCTGACCTCCAAAGTGCCAGGAACTCAGGGGTGGTCATTTGCTGCTGGGATTCCCCTTCACTATTAAGGATCCTTCTCCCTGTGGATCTCAGCAGCACGGAAGGATCACTTGTTTACTGCTCCTGGCATCATTAAAATCAAAGATCCACACTGTGCTGTGTGAGAACCTCTGAAAGGCCCCACTGTGCCCTTGAAAGATTAAGCAGCAGTACCTGATAATCCCAGAGTTCCCCTGTCACTCACTCGCCCTTGAGCTTTAAAAACAACCTCGGAGCTGGAGGAGAGCTGTCTGGAGGCCCTGGGCAAATGCTGGGCCCTGTGGTGTCCCCGGCTAGGGGCTGCCTGGGTAGGAAGCAAATCAGAAAAGGAGAACAAGAATATGGGACTGGGAAAGGGCAGACACAGTGAGGAGGAAAAAGAGAAAAAGAAATGAAATGTGAACTCACATGATTGGCCTATGGTCATCCATCTAGGAAGGAGAAGGAACAGGGCTTTGATTCAAACCTTGTTCTACCGCCTACAAAAATCCATCTTCCTTCCTTTATAACGGGCTTAGAGAGGTATCACTGCAGGTGTCTCTAAGCATATGGAGGACATGCTCCTAAGAAGAGCTCCCAGGTGGTCTGTTCAGCTCCACCGACTTGCACAAAAGCATTTTTAGTATGTGCCAGACACTGGATTGGATGTTTTGAATCTAAAAAATATATATTCTCACTTTTGAGGAGAAAGTGAGAATATATATACAGTCTAGTAGAAAGGTAAATGGACCAACAAAAAAAAAACCACACACCCCGAAAACATAAACAGATTTAAAATTCCATCGGATAAGCAATGAAGGAAGTAGCAATTGACCTAGAGAATCTGGGGGAGATGGGGATATTTGATCTGGTTTTTGTGGGATAATTTAAGAGTTGAGACTGGTGATGATGACAAGAAAAGATATTAACAGCAAAGAAACAACTATGACCTAAGAGAAACTAAAAGATCTGAGCAGAACAATTTTAGAGGAGGAAAAATGTATTTGAGGGCTCATAGTTTCAAAAGTCCCAGTCTACAGACAGCCAGCTGCATTCCTCAGGGCTTGAGATGAAGCAGAACAACATGGCGGAAGAGTATGGCAGAGGGAGGCAGCTCACATGTTGATCAGAAAGCAGAGAGGAGACTCCACTTGCCAGATACCAAATCTATAACCCAAATGCATGCCCCCAAAGCACACACTCCCCACCTTCAGTTACCACTCGGTTAATCCCTATCAGTGGATTAATTTACTGATTGGGTTGGGAATCTCACAACCCAATCATTTCTCCTCTGAGCCTTCTTGCATTGTCTCTCATGCGAGCTTTTGGGGGACACCTCACATCCAAACCATAACAAGAAATATGAGAACCAAACAAGAATGATCCAAAAAAAAAATAGAAAAGGCAAAGGGCCAATTGACTTGCAATCAAGTCCCAGGTTGACAAAAGAACATCACCGTGAATGCTGCTTCGACTCCTCAACGTGCCTAGGTGCTCCTGTGGGTCACTCAGCTCAGCCTCTCTGGAGTAGGATAGGTGACGAGGTCAGGGCACACCTCCAATCAGGCCCCGATTGGAACCTTGGCTCTTCACTTGCCTGAGCCTTGGGTTCTACTCTGTGGACTCTGACAGTGACCTCATCTGGTGGAATTCATCGAATCGCTCAGCACAGCACCTGGAGTGGCTGTGAGTGCACAACTCAGAGCCAAGAATGATGACACCTTGTTCACTCTGACCTGCTCCTGTCACCTAGCCTAGGTGTCACAGGAGTTGAGTGTAGCAGCCAAGTGAGGGCACACTTGGATGAGGAGGGTAAGGTGAATTGTGTGAGCACTAGGGTCTTTTGGTTTTGTTAATCATCAATTTTTTTGGCATTAATTTTGATATTTGTAAAATACCGGATTTACATTTATATTTACTGTTGAGCTATTTAGCACCTCCTTAACTTTGGCACCCAAGGCTCATGCTTCTCTGCCCTCACCCTGGCCCTGGTCTTGCCCAAGGTGGACCAGGCCATTCCCTGATGTTCCCTGTGCCAAGCAGCCCACAGAGGTAGGTTTGGGGGCTCAACTTTGGCTTAAGATCCCCTGCCTAGGGCCCTTTGCCTGTGCTGAGGGCTGCCCCTTGGGGCCCCAGGACTCTGAACAAACAGCTCTTAGGTTTGGGAATGCCTGACTTGGTTTGGTTTCTCTTTTTCTTTTTCCCTTGCCCTATTGTAAGTTTTATAAAATAAAAACCTTAGAACTGGTAGGCTGAGAGCTCTCCACAAGAAAATCAGCCTAAATTGTGTCATTACCCTGAGGAACCAGAGGAGTGAATTGAAACGAGTACATAAAATTCGCCTCACCTCCAAGTGAGTGGTCTTAATGTAATTCTTGCCAAGAGCTTCTGCTCAAAGGGCCTGTTTTCTGGGTGTAATGTGCAGCAGGCTTCCTCCAAGCAATGGCCAGGCATGTTTTGCAAAGCGTGGAAGACTTGGTTCGTCTCGATATTAGCGACTTTCTTAAATCCTGGTCCCGCTGACTTCTCTCCCTTCGCACCAACCTAAACGATGCTGTTAAGTAATTCAGTTTGAAGAACTCTTATGGAGATCAATTTTACTAATGCACACACAGCATAATAGAGGCTGGGCTGCCGGAAAAAAAGGGGGGATCTCTCTCTCTATTTCAAATCAGAGAACAAGAACAAGAATTACCGATTAGGTTGGAGCCGTGGCCCAAGGATGGCTTCCCTACGGATTAACATTTCCTGACTTTGCGCTTTGCAGAAAGGTTACAACTATTTATGTTATGTGCAAGCTATGCATAGTAATTAGAATCACTGCACAGCTTAAACTGGAACACTTGGTGGGACTGCAACGTAGACATCGCAGTCCCTGAATTTCTGATGACAGCTGTCACTCAGGGTTGGCAACAAGATTTTGTACTTCTTTTTCCCCCCTTCTCTATATATACATATATTTTTTAAGGTTTGTCTTTGTCATTCCAAAGTGTTCTTGATTCCTTTAATGCTTAATCGTGCTGTTACATGTATTTATTTTACAAATATATATTGTTATTTTGTGCAGTCATTAACTTAGCAACTATCCCACAAAGCGGGAAATCTAAAGACAAACCTCAGTGAAGTATGATGACTTATCCAAAATACATAGTGTTAATAGAAGTCAAGAATCAACAAAGGGCAAACCACATAGAAATAAAACATATTAAGAGGTAGGAGGCTGGGGTATTCTAGATTCAGAAAAATCATTTTGGACAAAGATAAAGTGACTGTCTTCATCTATCCATACACTATAATAAAATATCATGGACTAAGTGCTTATAAACAACAGAAATTCATTTCTCACAGTTCTGGAAGCTGGAAGTCCAAGATGAAGGCACAGACTGACTCAATGCCTGGCAGGAGTTCACTTCCTGGCTTCTAGATGGTTACCTTCCAGCTGTGTCCTCTCAGAGTAGGAGGGATAGGGCTCTCTAAACGGGGCCTTCCTGGGCACTAAACCCATCCATTAGCGTCAATCATCTCGAATGTCCCTGAGAGGTGAAGATTTCAACATATGAATCAGGGGGGGATAAGCTTTAAGAACACAGGAGTGACCTGTGAAATTAACACATATTAAAACCAATAGTTTCTGAGTATAGTGAGCAATTAAATAAGACCCAGAATTACTGTTCTATAGCAAATCTATTCTCTTTTTTTTTTTTTTAGAAAAAGAAAAAGCCTTGATTTCCAGTAACAGAGCTCCCCATTTATGTGCCACTGAAACTCAAATTCTTCCAATATGATTTTAGCTCTGTAATAAGGACACATTTGGCCAGAACCCTTGGCAAAGTAGGACATCAGAGAAGTCTCAGATCACTCAGCCACTTTGTACCACTTAGATTAGACTCCACAAGGGCACAGGAAACCTCTTTTAGAATAACTTTAGCTTTCCAGCATCTAACTCGATGTTGCCCTCCAGTTGGAAAAATAAAGGTGGTGAAAGGGCAGGCTACGGGGACTCCCTAAAGGTCAAAGTCCATGCTGGGTGCTTCACCGGAGCTTGTCAATAGTCTAGATCAGCAAGACTCGAAATCCTCGTGGTCTAGATTAGTAAGACTCCAAATTCGTCTTTTGCCTTTTTCTGCTGTTCAGAGAAGCCCATTCGCTGCAGAGAGCCTGACTGTATGTCACTGAAACTACTCTTTGCCTTGGTCGGGTTCCACTTGACAGAGTCTCAATTCAGAGCCATTTTGAAAGGAACTGATTTGTTGGATCAACTCCAAGAAAAAATTATGAAACCCAACCCGTGGGAAGGGCAGGGAGGTACCCAGTTTCCTAACTGCTGGGGCCTAGAGATGGAGGTCACCAGAACACGCTTCCTAAAATTCCTCCCCTTATATCTCTAGGTGCTTGCGATTTGCTCCTCCCTAGGGCACACTGTCTTTCTCCAGGCTTGGCAATGGGGTGGGAAAAACACCGCCCTCCCCAAACACTTGCCATGGACATCCGACAGCTTCTGCTTCAGGAGAGTGACCAACAAATGTCTCTGATCTCGAGACCAAAAATCTCAGAAAAAAAAAAGACTCACTGACCAGGCCTGGGTCACATGACAAAAATAAGGATTCATGACCAAGGGATGCCTAACGCCTGTGGTTGCCACGGCAATGGGAGACCAGCAATTTCTAGGAGAAAGGGGATAGCAGGTAGGAGGCCCCTTAAAGTCCCCTTTGCCCATCTAGAAAATATCTCTGTCCTTGGCAAATGCCTAGTTCCATTCCTGGAACACAGCAAGTCTTCAGTAAATATTTATTGAATGTCAAGGGCAAAAAAAAAAAAAAAATAGAAGTAGGAAAAAAGGGAATAAGAGACAAAAGCCCAGGGTCAGCCTGGGACGTTCAAAGTAACATCTCTTCCCTGCAGGCAAGCTCACTACCTGCGACAGTGCTCTGGGAGTGCAGGGGACAGTTCCACGTCGGTGTTTAGAAGTGAGGACGTCTTTCCCCTCCTCTGGCTCCTGGCAGGTGCAGACTCTCTCGCCACTCCAGAAAGGCTCGCCAGCTGCCAATGTTCCCCGGCTTATTTTATCTTCCCCTGCAATAAAATTTTTTTTGTTCCTGTTAACAGCTGGTATGTGAATCCTTCCCCCAGGGAGAGACCCACTTTTATCAAGTGAATGCTTTGATAAACCCACTCAGGGACTCGGGTCAGCAGGGTCTTGGGATCAGAAGAGCAGGTGGGGCCGCTCTGCAGGGGACAGGTGGCTGCTCTCCTTCTGAGACAGGGGACAGCAGAGGGAGGGGAGGGAGGCTCCAAGTCAAGGGCACATCCAGAAGTCCCCGTAAGAAAAGAGACGCGCGTCTAACGCCCCGAAGGGCTTGGGCTCTGCTAGGCAAGCCATCCCACCACCTCAAGCACTGCCCCATGGGACTAGCCATCCTGGAGAAGCTGAGAAGGGAGTGGATTCTACGTCAAGGTCAGAGTGGGGCATATGAACAGCCTGACCATGTGAGCAAAGGCAGCAACATCTGGCTTAGGGCCCAGTGCACAGATGTGAAAATGGCCCCCTTGCCAGGCCACAGCCGGCACCTGCTGGGGCCCATGGCAAGTGTCAGAGGTGAGGACAGCTGGCCTGCCCTCCCTGCTCCTGGTGGGAACAAGTCAGAGTTCTAACAAGAATTCCATCTGCCAAGTGCAGCCCTTGCACACAGGTCCCAAGCTCCTGGTGGTCCATCCTCTCCCCTCCTCTCCTCTCCTCTCCCCACTTCCCTCCCACTCCCTTCCCTTCTCCTTCTCTCCCCCTCCTCCCTCTCCTTCTCTCCTCCTTCCCTCCTCCACAACTCTGTGTTGTGCTGCACTCTGTCAGATTTTCCCTTTCTCCCACATTCATCTGGCCAGTTCCTCTTTCTCCTTCAGATCTCACCTTCAAGATTCCTTTTTCCAGAGACCCTACCTCTCTCTCCCCACAGCTAGCTCCACGTCCCTTTTAGGTGAACATGGTAGCCTGGCTTGTTTTAACCTCATCATGGTGAGTTAAAACTGCTTACTCGCCTGGCTTGTTTTAACCTGATCATGGTGAGTTAAAACTTACTTGTCTGCCCATCTCTCCTGCTAGACTATAAACTGCAGAGGACAAGGATGATATGTCCATTTTGGTCACCATCCCATCCTTAGCCAGAAGTACAGTGCCTGCCACAGCAGGTGCTCAGTAAATACTGGTTGAATATGTCGAATAAATAATGAAATGGATGAGGCTCTGGGGAACCACTCGCAGCCGAATCATCCCAGAAGGGTCCTCTCTCCTCTGCCCGGGGCCTTCCACAGCCCCCATCAAAGGCAGGAAGAGTCTGCAGCCATGGTGTCATCAACGAGCCAATCACAGGGTGCATCCTGATGGAGCGAGACACTGCTATGGGAAGAGTCTAGACAGCGGGTTCTAGGTCAGAGGGAGCCCTTGAAAGCTCTGAGGCAATTTCCCCTCAAATGGAGTTTGGAACAGTTATTCTGGAATGTGAGGGAAGTGTTGGAAGAGAGAGAGAGACAGTGGGATGGCAGAGGAGCCACCTAGGAAGCTATAGTATTGAGGATGAAAGAAGAAAAAGGTCCTCATCTCATCTGGGGGCAAAGTAGTGGGGGTGGCTGGGGTAGAGGGAAGGAGGGCCAGGCTTGGGGGTCAATTGTCCACAAAGGAGAATTCAGCTTCAACAGAAATATTTTAATTTTGTATAAGAAAAATTTATTGATGTAGTATTTAAGTGATTAAAAATAAAAATGTTTAAGGAGGAGGCAAGGAAAACCATAAGAAATAAAAGAAAGATTAAGGTAGAGAGGGGAAAAGAAAATAAGGAAGAATATAATTCAGTAAATTTGGGATTACTATTCAGGAAGGAAATATTTTCCAAGTGCCCACTGTATGTCAAGTGCTCCTGCAGTCACTAAGGTAAAATAATAAATAAGAAAAGGAAAGTCCTTCTCATCCTGGAATTGTTATTTAATGGAGAAAATGAAAGGTGGACAAATAGGCAGATAACTAATTCCAAATAGTGATAGATCATTTTTAAAAGCCAACAGTATAAGGGGATAAAGAACATTCCATGTATCTCTTATTGTATTAAAATCTATCACCAAACAGTGGCTTTAAATAATAGTAATGGTTAGCTTGGCTGATGATTCTGCAGTTCAGGCAGAGCTCCGTGGGGACAGCTCCCCTCTGCTCTACTCATGTCCCTGAGGCAGCTCAAAGGTCGAAGGCTGGAATCCCCTCCAGGCTGGTATCATGGTTTGGATCAGGATGTCCCCCAAAGACAATTCAGCAATGATCAGAGGTGAAATGATTGTGAGGGCTGATGAATTGAAAAGATGACTAGTTGGCAACTTTAGGCAGATGGGGTGTGGCTATAGGAAGGAGTTACTGGGAGCATACCTTTGGGGATTTTATCTGTCCCTGTTTTCTCCCCCCACTCCCACACAGCCATGAGCTGATCAATTTTCCTCCACCACATCCTTCCGCCATGATGTTTCTTCCTTGGAACTGGTTGACTGTGTACTGAATCCTCTGAAACCATAAGCTAAAATAAATCTTACCTCCTGTAAGTTGTTCTTGTCAATTTTATTCACAGCAATGCAAAGGTAACTGATACAACTTGTTCTTAAGCAAGGAGAGTCAACCAAAGGTGAAGCTGATGCTGGCTGGCAGGTGGCACCTTAGCTAGCTGAGGAAGTTGGAGAAACAATGTCACACAGCCTCTCCACACAGTTGGGCTTCCTTACACTATGGTGGTAAGAGCAAGCATCCTAACATGCATTATAGATAAAGTAGGACATCCACATACATATAAATACATATACGGGTATATGGATGCTCCTTGACTTACAATAGGGTAATATCCTGATAAACTTATTGTAGTTGAAAATATCAGGAAGGATGGGGCAGAGAGAGACAGTAAGTCATTCCTAGCTTTCCATGACAGCTAACTCAACAAAGTCAGGCATGGACAGAAATGAAGAAAATGTCGTGAGAGTCAGCCTAGGGATCTTGGTTTGGAAATGTCAGGTCTGATAGGAAAATTGTAATGCCCTCCAGAATATAAGAAATTCCAACCTCGAGTTGTCCAGCTCAGGGCTGTGGCCACAGTTCTCAAAGATTCTGCTGAGAGATGGGGCCGAAGCCACAGACCTGAGCCACTTAGCCAGGGAGCAAGGGAGCAAGAAGAGAGAGCTCCGCAGAGCCTGGGGCCTCGCTCTTCAGGATTATCTATTCATGGCCACAGAGTGAGTTTCAAGTAGTAGAGGGAAGAAAAAGAAAACAGTTTGAAGGGAGCACTTCTCTGTTCTCTGTCTCCTGAAAAGGTCACACATGTGATGAGGCATTAAAGGCAGTCAGGGACAGCTGGGGGCGAGCAGCATGCACGCATGCATTACTTATGAGACTCCTCTGAAATGTAAATGGGGGTGAGTTTATTGGTTCCCTTGGTCTTAAATGGAATCATAAAGTATTCATCGGGTCCAGCCAAGGCCTTTCAGATCTGGAGCTCAGTGAGAAATATGTGGCATGCTAAGGTTACATTAATAAAAAATAAATAAATCCGTGTCCAGGAAACGCACGCTTGTGCACTATAAAACTGCCCATTCTGTAGATATTAATGTTTAATGTGTTTGTAAAAAGCAGGCGGCTTTGCCGAGCACAGCAACAAGAACGTCCTGTACCCCTCAGTACTTAACATCTCTGCAGGGCTCCTAAGTGCTCTGGTGGGGAGCAGGCCGGCCCAGCCCAGGTGGGAAATGCCAAGTTAGTCTGTGGAGCCACGTCGGAAAGTTGCTGGGCTAAGAGGAAACTCGCTCCCGACTCAACTCGCTGCCAACGCCAGGGGAGTCTAACCTGCACCCACCTTCACCTTCCGCTGGCTCTCCATGCTCAGGGGAACTGAGAAGAGGTAATGTTTTCAAAACTGAAACCTAATGATAGGAAATGTGCTTAGAGAAGACACTCAAAAGAAACCCACCATAATAAAGTTTGTTTTATGGAAAAGATCTAATAAGCACCTGACTCAGAGAAGCAAAAGTAGTTTTTTTGCTTCGGGTCACATATACAACTCCAGCTGTATTCTAGATATTTCTAGAAGGTTCACACCAATGGATGAGAACCATCCTAGGCACAATGGCAGCTGGCTGAACATCAGGGATGCGCCACTTGGTAGCTGTTGGTCCCTGGTTACTTTTGGTCCCAACTCAGAGCAGAGAAATATCTGCTTCCCCCAACCTGATTTGTAGTCGAGGCACATCTGCCACTTCCCAGACCCACTGACCAAACCTTAAGACAGCCTGGAAGTGTCACTTGGAACTAACCGGGAAAACGAGAAAGGGCAGGTAGGCAGAACAGAGCCAACACTCAGGAATGGAAACACATACTTACAACCATCAGGCAGCCCTCCCTGCCCAAGGAGGAGCTTATTGTGGTAGGGATCCGCAAAAAGGACTGGAAATTCATTAAGAGATGGACTCTCTCTTTTTCTCTTTTCACACCTGGAATTCAACAGAGCCTTTCTGCCCAGACTTCAGGACCCACTGACAGGGTCTCTGCAGTCATGCATCAAGCTCCTGCACAGACAGCAAGTCTTCCCAGCCTTCCAAGTGCTGAGAGAATCCTGGGCCTGTGCTTCTTGTACAAGGGAAGGAAATCTGCCTCGAGACCCTCTAAAACAAATCTTTGCTTCTCATGTCCACTATTGTGGGTTCAATGGGTTTCCCCCAAAAGACTTGTTGAAATCTTAACCCTTGGAACTTGTGAATGTGCTCTCATCTGAAAACTGGGTCATTGTGCCTGTGATCAAGTTAAGATAGGAACATTCTAGTTTAAAATGGGCCCCAAATCCAATGACTTGTGTCTTTCCTTATAAGGAGATAGACTGGACTCAGGCCTACAGGGGAAGGCTACACGAAGACAGAGGCTGCAGTTATACTCACACAAGCCAAGTAACACCTAGGACGTTGTAACCATGAGAAGCTGAAAGAGGCAAGTCTAGAACTTACCAGGAAATTGCAGCCCTGCCAACACCTAGACTCTCCAGTACCATAAGGCAATGCATTTCTGCTGC